TGTGTGCAAAATCCCTAGTGAAAGGCGTATTGGTCAAACACAGTAACGCACATACCACGCCTCCTCAATGCGACCAACGTAATTTTTGGTGCCAAACGCAAAATGTAACAGAAAAAAGATAACTTCTCGTGTTTTTTCGCCAGACTTGATTATACAATTAAAATAATAGAGATTATAAAACGACCTAGGCCATGGATACGTGATATTGTTTGGCTGAGCTGGCTAGCGGTAAGCATAACGTTATTGTCATTTAAACTCACGTACTTAATTAAGGATTTGATATAGTTAGTCATATTGCAGAATACACTAAAGAAAGCCGAAAATATTTTCTGTCTGCTGAAGGAAGTATGATCGTATCCCTTTAAAGGATTCTTCGTAATAGACAAAATGTCTGGCTTTGAGGCTAAACGCATTGTACCCAATCACAGGTTCTGTTAGCTTCCTTTTTCGGATCTAAGGTACACAATACACATTAGCGCTCAGTCTAGCAAAAAAAGCTATATACGAATCATACGTAGAGGCGTCGGAATCAATCAAATTAGAAACACCTCAGAGGTGAATTTCTCGACCCTGGTTGTACCCCTACCTACGTCATTAGGGAGTTCAAGAATAAACAAGGGTTTATTTACTCTGGACTTCCTAGGGTCCATGCACAGGTTGGGCAAAGAATATCGATTATAAACATTAGCGAAACCTCCAAAGAAGCTATGGCATTTCAACTTATATTTCTTACGCAGCAACAGTTGACTTATGTTTGAAAATCATAGAAGCGATTCTCATTTCCTAAATCCCGTCTAATATAGGGGACGTTAGTCGTTGACTTGAAGACTTTATTTGTAACTGTTTTCACGCGACCCGTTTCTTGTTGCTTTATCTAAACTCAAACCTATACAGTTTTATACTTATACATGCTTTAGGAATATGTAGGATTGTCAGCGACGCCGGCGTAAGAAACCGAGTCACCCAGACCGAAATGTTATTTTAAGGACCGGCCTCTGCCAAAGACGTCAAGCATGAGCCGTCTGTCAAATCTCAGATATGGAGATCGAACGGTAGGACTGAAATGCAATTTTGCCTAACACTTTACATACCATAGTGTTCACCGTAAAGAGGATGGCCGGAGGCATCACGGGAACGGGAGCCTCCTGCAATCACGCAGGCAACCGCTTGAGTAACTGTACGGATCGTCTGCTCCACCAGCTTCTTTACTCGTGGGAGGGCTATAGCAGTCCACAGGTAGCGAATGTTAGAGCGTGCCAAATGCTTTTCCACGCATCAACCCCGGGAATAGCTTGCGCCTTCCATGACGACAGCGTTTATCGCCTGGTAGTAATCCTAAAGGATAGACCGTGTCTTTTAAATGAACCGGGCTGTCATTCATTGAGCTGGAATTCATGGCCCTTTAGGGTAACCGCTACTCACAGCTTAGCGTTCCTTAGCAGACTCCGCAACTGCGGACATATTCCCGAACTCTCGCCCTTACTTCGCGCTTCGAGAAAAAGCAGTACACCAATTGGAGGATGGTCCTTATCAGGCCTTGATAGCTTTAATGGCTGAGAGAGAACACCGCTGGCTTAGTCGAACGTGGGAAAATCGGTCGGAGACCTCTTGGCTCGGAATGGTAAAAAACAAGCAATAGGAATCCGGCTGCCTTCCTGTCTTTAGACAGCAGGGCAACCTTGTCGCCTCTTTGAAGCGTTGTTACCATCGGAGTCCAGGGCATTGTATAGTTGGTAGTTTCTAACTGACCAGAAATCGGCGCCGCAACTCATGATCTTGTTCTGGATTATCGCGACGAGACAGCGAATCTGCGTTGCAATTTTTAGCAGCCACTTAGATCTCGAAATCTTACTCCACCAACTTTAATGTCTTTTGGACTAACTTGTGCAGAACTCTTTCTCACTTCGGTGGTCGGTAGCCACCATAAACCGCCACCCGTACAAATACGGATAGAACCTTCACATGACCAAACTACAGCTAAATTTCCAGTTTCGAATTTGGAACGAATTCTACTTCGTCTTCATGGCCAAGAGTCGCCTACTAGTGTACATTACTATATGCTCTTCACTTTACATGTTCTAGAAGATAATCGCTCCCACTCCGGTGCTATTTGCATCGGTCTGCCTGTGGTACCACTAGAAAGGAATCTTGGTACGGCGCGACCCAAAAGAATTAGTTAGCTTTTATAGAGTCCTACAGCAGCTTGACGATTTTTGCAAAACCCCACACAAACCGACGGTAGTATGACACTAGTCTATAGTCGCATCGCAGTTTACGGACGGTCGTAAAGGGCTCCAGGCATCTCTAGTTTTTCTCGATCAGAGAAAAAGCTCTGCGCAAAGACTTCATAATTAAGGTACACAGCTTCTTCTATAGTGAATGACTACTGAAACTCCCTGAAACATCATCAGTATTGAGAACAGAATACACCTGCCGAAGATGAACTGAATGTTTCTCAACTTCTATACAAGGCCATTTGGTATCATAACTTATCCAAAACCCGGTTCATTAGCTGCTACAATGTCACCGGAGTGCTTGCCAACCCAAAAGACGCTAGCTGAAATTAACATAAAATTGCAAAGTGTTGCTTATTCACTACACTCGAAAGTCCTACAAGTTGCAGAAAATAGTATAAAGCTTTGCAAGTCGGTGAAAATATTCTGGCTTGCTGTAACATTAAAGGATTCATTCAATTCGTTCATTCAAACGGAGCACATCCCTTTTCGTCACCATTTTTAATCTCCGAAAATCTACCTATTACCGAAGCAAGCCGTCCTACGAACAAATGTGCAGATTCAGGAACTGCAACAATTCCTACAAAAAAACTCTTTAGGTCCAAGCGAACCCTTTCCAATACGGGGTTCACCCAATACACTCGACTGGCAGGTAGGTGCATGGGACACCTCCGGTTTAGTGAATGCCACGCATTCTTGGATGCGGTAGTGCCGACTTTTATATAGGGAAGTAGCTTCCTGAAATCGGTTACCAGAATCACATACTCGTTACACGCCGAGAATGACGTCATGTGCCGAATTGTCGGCTATAGCAGAGAGCCTTACTTGCTTCCTGCCGATTTCCCGCTTGATTTGCCCCGCGACGGTCAAAGGCTGTTGTGGCATCAGCAAGTCCAACGGCCCGCTTGGCAGCCTGCACCAGAACCCACACGTAAATCGTAAATGTATTTTAAAAAAACGTAACCCGGGCTAATCCACCTAGGTACTCTAACTTCACTGTGATATCGATTCCAGAGAGTTCGACAGTTAAAAAGGCCCCGCTAGTCGCATTCCTGAGTCGCACTATGCAGCGTTCGCATCTAAAGTCCCTTGTATCTGCACGACTGACATCAAACTAATTTTGTGCATTTATTTTTTTCTAGCAATAGTGACTAACAAATGACTATTGTTAGAAATGTAGAAATAAAATGATATAAAAATGTCTCTAGGACTGACGGAAGACTGCTCGTATACAAATACATTGACGAAGAACTTACATTCTATGCACGTATCTAAGTGCTTTGACGGTCATAGTAACTATCCGAAAACGGCTGCGCATAAAATGCATAATAAAATATAATGAATATGATCATAAATATTGAAATAGACTGAAAAATACAAGGCGCATAATACCCTCCAGCCGGCCAACCGGCCGTCGCCAGTCGTTGGACCTAGTTATTGTCGTCAATTTGTTGGCAGCTCGGCGGAATGTCTCTGGTGGGCGAGAGAATAGACCATCAAGTTTACCGCTTTCTGGCGAGTATGCTAAAGACAAACGCTCTCGACCTTGACAATAAACGAGTAACTAAGTGGCTCGAGAGAATTGCACATGTGGCAGCAATAAGACCATCAGCCTTATTAGCGAGTCTATCGCAAGCTATCCAAACCAGTTACAACGATTGGCACAAAAGGACAATTCTTCTTCTTCCTAAACACCCTTGAAGTCACCTGGATCAGCGTTCGCCCACAGCTGTTAAAATAATATAAAACAATATATTTTTTATATCTTTATACTAAAGTTATTGAAGAAGTGATCGAAAAGTAAGTTAATATGGCTAGAACAGAACTTGAAATTCTACACATTTTTCGCTTTTTTTGTAAGTTAGTGTCCCTTTCAAGGCAAGGTATTTCTTTCGAATGAGACGTCTACTTTGCTGCCGCATTTTAGCTGAAAATTAACGAGAAGTATTATTATAGCATTATCATCTTAAAAATATTATTATATTATATATAGCGAAACGGAAAGAAGCAATATTTTCAGACTCATCTCATAGACCTTACGTTCGAAATGAGACAAGTATTATGAAACAGTGAAAGAGAAAATTCAACTTCGGAATGAAACAACGAAGCTTCACCGCCGCGATTTAAAGAGCTCTGTTTTGTCAACAAAAAAAAATCTGGGATTTTTAATTTTAGTATGCTTGTTTTACCGGATATAATTGATCACAAATACTTAGCAACTATAAGAATAATTAATCAGGAAAATATCAATCGCTGTTTTCAGCGTTACCTGGTGTGCAGCACGAACGCCGTATATATAGCAATTTCTAAGACTATGACGGTTACTGTGAATAAATGAGGCTGTGTTTAAAAGACAAGTAGGGATGACCGGCTATTAAAATTAGCAATTGAAATCCAAATGATGATAATCTCTTTAGGCTAAATCTGCGTTTGGGAACGGCGAGGTTTAAGCTCCTATCATTGCTCTACCCAATCAGTATGTCATTTCGGTATCATTCTCTTTATGAATAGAAAAAACGTAAGATTTTGTTTACACCCAAAGCATGTATTTGAACAGCGCACCTCTTCCTATTTAGTTCTATGACGTAATATCCAAAGCTACTGAAAAGCCACTCTATAAGAAAACAGAGTTTTTTTCGGGAACAGGCTGTTTCTTACATAGTGGCTACAGCCCTCTATCTGCAATGCACTCTGTTCGAAAAAATGGTTAAAAAATACCACCAGCAAATATAAATAAACCTTATAGATTATAATAAATGCGTTTATTTTGCATCATCTGTTTTTATATACAACGATACATAGTTTTGATGAGTAAGAACCATCGTTATCTATAATTCTATGTACAGTAAAGAAGGAATACATTCCTAAACGTTTGTATTACTAAAGGCCTTCAATCAATCAAGATGAAACTACTGATTGTTTAATTTCCAGGCAGGGCACTACTGAGAAAAGCAAGGTGGCCTTTCGGGCATTTGTTTGCGTAATGACCCTTTTCGCCACACTTGAAACAAGTAACTTCGTCAAGAGGCCGGTAATTTCGGGGGCCTGCTTGGCGATGTCCGCCAGTACCAGGCCCACCTCCGCCAGGGTTTCCTGCACCTGCGCCCCCCAGCGCCGGTGAATTTCCCAGGTTCGCATTGTTATCCCCACCACCGGCAGTTGTAGTTGCAGCAGCGGCAGCAGCAGCCATGGTACTCTGCCGTAATTGAGTAGCGAACTGTTGCGCCTGCTGGTTCTGGGCAACTACTTCATCTCTTTCACGCTGGTATTTTTCTTTGACGTCTGGCGGCATTTTAGGACAGTGCCACAGTTTGTGTCCTGATTCGTTGCAGTAATGGCAGGTAAACGTGGATTTTTTAGCCTGTAGTTGACTGATATCTGGCAAGTCGAATTTCGGATGGACAAATTTACAGTTTGGTCCTTCTGGACAGAAGCCACACAGATATGAAATACACACAACTCGCCGAGTATGCCTATGGCGGCAGGTTGGCCCATGCCGGCAGAATCCTCGATCGTACCACGGACAATCGCGAATCTTTGAGTCGGGATCAATGTGTAGGAAAGGACATTCTTTGTTCGAGCAAGCGTTGAATCTTGAGTAGAAATAACACTCCGGCATCTTCGTCATATCATATTCATGCAAAAATTCACACTGGTCACCCTTTTTGCAAAGGCCGCGTAGCCAATGCTTGCAAACGACTGTACGGTCGCCTTTGATATGGCGAAATGGGCACTGATTATCACGCGTACACCGTCCACGAGCGAAGAGCGTGCACGCCAAAGCACCGGACTTGTCCATACCGGTAAACGGCAGAGGCATTGCGCCGAGCTGCTGGTCAAGTGCAAGCTCGATTTCAAACATGACATCTTTGCAGTTTGCCACCAATTCCTCCATTGTTACGCTACCTGTGGACTTCCAGTTTGTGTGCTGCTATCTGCTGGCTGGAATTTGGACTGAAATTTTTCCTACTGGATCATATCAAATCATTCTATACATCCACTTGACATCCAGTACATGAAAACTCACTCAAATGTTCATGCTCACTGATGCTTGTTATTGGCAATACATAACAGTAATGTTAATTACAGTAAAGCCTTTTTACGCGTTCTGAGCAGCGCACCTTTGTTGAATCATCCCTGTTCTATTAGCAAACAAACCCCAAATTTCTACGAGATTAGGAACGCACCGGCTGGCTAATAAAAATTTGCCGGTGAAACTGATTGTTATGGCTGGGCAATACGGCTGATGTCGTCTGGAGCGAAGGGAGAGGGCTTGCTGCGCGCGCAGATTTGATTTGTCGCAGCCGTCAGGGAAAACGAAGCGCAACACCATCACTGCATCATACTAGCAGTAGAGGCAACGGGATGATTTGTATGTAACCGCGCAATGGGTACTGTGTTTGCTTGCTTTAGGTTTAAGGACTCGTGGTAGTCTAGGCCGGAATCCTAACGCAGATACACTTTCTTTCGTGCCGGAAGCCTACTACTGCTGTAGTGCCTCTAACACTTAAGCAGCAGATGTAAATAACGAAAAACGTGAAGAAAAAGATACGATCTAAGAGCATACGCACGAGTTTATAGCGAACACCACACGTTTAATAGGCACGCGAGCACATACTAAAATCGTAGCACTTTCGTTGCAAATTATATCGATAATATATGGGTCATTGATTAAGTTCATATTTGACATTGGACAACCCTGTCCAAAAACCTGTCAGTGCATATTTAAGATTAAAAGCACGTATATACGTAATTTAGGCCTAGTACTATAAATGATTTTTGTATGTAATTTTTCCCTGCAACTTTACAGGATAAAATGTTTACCTCCAAATCTTGAAAAAACTGTGTGTTTTTTTTTCATTATTAAGAAAAAGTAATCGAATCCATCGTTACCAGAGCTATATCGTCGACCTATATCACAAACAGATATGTAAAATGGGTGTGCTAAGTTCGCTTGAAGCGGCGCCTTTGCACCTAATGCATTTTACAGTCCTACAATAAAACCAGAAATTGAATCGGAACAGCTTATTCGTAGTAAGTAAAATGAGGCAGATGCTTCTTGTATTAAGTAGAACGAATGGCACCTTATGCCTTTCCAATCTCGGCATCGACATATAAAGCAATCAAGCTGGAGTTTTCAAATTAAACCAGAATTAGGTCTGGCTTCCGTTAGGCAGGATGCTTCTACTACGCTCCATCTCAGTCTGTTCCACGAAGTCACGAAGTCATCAATGTAACTTCACCAAACAGAACAAGGTAGCGATGACGACTGCAAAGCGGAAAAAAGCAATAATTCCAGACTCATCTCATAGACCTTGTTCATAGCGAGAGCATACTTACGCGAGCGATCTGCTTTCGAAGGTAACAAGTGAAGCGAACGAATACTGTAGAAACGACTGAGGTCGCAGCGAGCAATGCCGAAAATGACAACAAGCCATGCTGGAAAGATTGTGTCGGGGCTTTCTCAGCGAGATGTCTAACACCGAACGCCGCAGGAATACAAGAGCAAGTGCCAATTTATAGTAGAGAATGAGCATGCGAGCAGATGAACCAGATAGGCAATATATGTAGCATCTTGCATGATAGGAAATCGCAGACACGTCTGCTGCCTCCGAGCCTCCGGAACGTCTATGAAAGAAAACGTTGCCAAATCATTTATATCGCGACAAAGTCGCAACTAGAAATAATATCACAGAGTTATGCCAACGTTTTGTGAAACGCTTAGCGAAGAACTAGTACGCAGCAGACAAACTATTCATCTACGGTCAGTCTACGTTCTTGCCTGTAAACCCATTCTCGTTTGGATTTTAATCATTAGGTGGAAAAAATCGGCTCAGGCCATAATGCTAATGTCGTTTTGGTTAATTTACTTGTGTAAACCACATTAGTTAACCGGTAATAGCTCGTGTAAATGAGTTTGTTCTGTTTTTGTTGGTTTTCGTTTCAAAGTTATTAAATTTAACAAATACCAACAAGCGCTACAGACATATAAGCTTAATGCAAACAAGAAAATATCCAGAACGATGACTGGGTGTGGACTGCGCCCCACGGCTTGCTTAACGACGCGAAACTGATGTTTGCATTACTATAAGATAGCACACATACCATGCACTTGTCCTGGCATTGTTCTTAGAATCCTCAGGAGGTGAATTGTAGCTTCGACATTGCCTATAGACTCCTTCGAACTCTGCTGGCTTTTCAAGGCTTTGAAAAGGTTAAGGCATAAATTCGAATATATTTGTGACGCAATACTAAAAGCCACAGTACTTCCGTAGGGGGTACGGCAGGTGCGAGTTATAGCGCCATGTTGGCCTAACGAAGTAGGACCTATCCACGTAACTTTTCATCTGTCGACAATACTTATGTGACAGTACCGCTTGTGTTTTTGTATTCCACGAAAGTCATGGCGTGAATTCAAGGCCGAATGGATGCGATTCTGAAGTGCTACGACAGTCTATGATTGCCAATAATTGAGCTCGGTGTCAGCGTCAGGTCCAAGTGACAATAGCCGAACAAAAAAGGAAAGCTTTAGGTTTATATAAGCTGACTATACTCTAGGTAAATGTTTCCAAGCAATTAAAGTTCGTTCAGCAAATTTGACAGTGTCTATAGTTCCTTAGGTACACCGATTCCCGTACTGCATCGACTTCAATGGAGATAATAAAGATTCGGAATTTTGCTTGTGTGGTTTTCAGTCTGTGCCACCCCACTTTTTCAGAGTGGTCGCAAGTTCAATGGAATGCGCTCGCTTATAGCAGAAATAAGCGATTCGATGTTTCTGGTTCATACTCATAAACAACAGATTTCTATATAATTTGTGGGATATTTTAGCAATAGCACCCAGCAGAATCACTGCCTGCTGACAAACGTAGGGCTTTAAGCTATGTTGCGCCACTGCATTTTAAAATAAAAAAAAAAAAACGTAATTAAGGGGCTAATAGATTGCGCAGTCTTCTGAGAGCGACATGTGACAGAACGATGATTTCTATACGTCACTGCGTGTCTCAGATTGTATTGAAGAAATCGTTTGCTGAGGTTCTTTTTATAGTTGCCATAATGCCAATGACGTACACCATTGAAACGAAAAAAGTTCGGCCTCACATTGTCATACGTTTCTTTATGGTGGTCAGGAACTTTCCTCTTTTTGAAAACAGGAAGTTGTGATCTATATTTTTTCACTAGCACAATACACTGAAGGCAGATTTGCTACTAGTCTTTGGAAATAAACGAAAACAGTGTCCTTTGTTATACGAATCTGGTATGCGGACATTTGCAATTAACAAAAAGTTTTAGCTGCTAGTTGGGTACCAACAGCTGAAATCGTTTTTGCTAAAGTAGTAGTTCTATAATTATAAGCCATAGTTAATTGTCATGAGCGGGGACAGAAATACAGGAAATCTGGTTAAAAAAAAACGATCATGGTATCTTCTATGGATTTTTTTTGTACCCGCAAAAAGTCATATGACAGAGAAGATTATTACATTTGTGTGTGCAGTTACAGCTGTATAAACAACGATTTTCTCTACTCAGAATTTTTCTACGAACTATGGACATAATTTTGTAGGTTCTCATAATATTACGTTATTACAGTATGTACCTTAGCCTTCAGTTGACTGTAAGACAATTGTTAATTGCCTATACTACTTACAATAGTCCAACTTGATTACGAATTCTTCTAAGGCAATGCTTACCGGCGCCTCGAGACGTTCAAAATTCATTTCGTTATAAACCTCGTACCGTAACGTTTCCCTGAAAAATTTCAAATTAACCATTTTCGTTACATGCGTAAGGCTATATTTCCTCTCGACAGTACGGATAAGTTTTTAGTGCATGTTACTCAAAGATTGATCTATCTTCGGCTCTGATAGGATTTCATATGGATAAATTATGGGATTTCTATAGATTTAGGTAGACACACGGACCTTCAAGGAAAGCAATTTCAATATCTAACAGCCGCCTTATAGGCATCTACGAATACCAAATTCCTATTGCCGAAATTTAATGAAAACGTACTTGCATTCAGCCAATGTGATGCGTCTTCCTATCTCTAACATGAGACCCATCGGCATCCTATTTTTTCCATAAATAAATTTATATTAAAAAGACGAAGGTTTATAACTATATACAAAGTATATAACTTCGTGTTTTCCAGACGAGAATTCGACTGGCGATTTCCGATGCATTTATGAACCGCAAGTTCAAGCCTTTCAAGACCGTTGACCAACGCATACATATACAGATGGGTCAAGGGTATTCTGCAGAACGTCGCATTTAGAGCTGCGATCCGTTTTAGTCCCATTCGTATAGTTATTGTAAACCATAGATGACGGATTCAGTGGTTCAGTAGACGATTAAATGACAACCACCCTAAGGCTAAAGTGTTGCGGAAGTCGTGCAGTTCAATTGTGGGTATTCAGCACTTTTGCGAGCGACAGCTGGTCTAACGGCTGTTTCGAACCCAGTCGACTGCCTAAAACTAGATGCAGAAGAGTGTCCACATAAAGACTGTTTGGCCACGGCAAGAATTTGTACGTTTTTAATGCATTTTACATTGTGAGCATAAAAACCGGATCCGGACAAAAAAAACTGCCCTCGTTTGACGCCTTTGCTTTTCATACGTTGCCGTACGTAATTCAGTATACCACATTTAAGATAACGCCGCGAGTGATAAGTATCCTGATGATTGTATGAAAAGTCTAGATCTTTTGACTGTGGATTTGATTAGTATATGGATGGTGTTGCCCTTAAACGATAAACTGATGTAGCGTAAAATTTCGATAACGGCAAAAACCCACTATGACAAAATCGCCTATCCGTAACAAAGTCTCCGAAACTTAGACACACTGTCCTCAGATAGGGCTTTACGTGTGCCATCACTAGTAGATTTAGAATAATGAGAATGCAATTGATTAGTGCTTTGTATAATAATGTGTCAGCCGTTTTAATGATAGCGTAGCTCAAAGCAAAGATCGACTTAGGCTTAGGGTCATTGTTGTTACCCTAAATACTTTTTTTCATTACGTATTTATCTTATTTGTTCCCAAATATGTGAAATAAGGCTAATAAAACTGTACAATTATCAAAGCGTATTTTTTTAAACAACCATATGACTGCAATGACTTATTAGAAAATAAACAGATCAAGTGCAATGTGTGTTCTAAAATAAGTGAGAGTTATCATTTAGAAAAAGTTGTTCATTCCAAAAACAATATACATGAAGTATGACAGACAGCATTACTTTCTATTTT